GGGGGCATGTGTGATAGAGAGAGGGTGATAGTGAAAGAGAAACAGTCTGATGCCGTTTTGGCTGTGAGAGCGTACATGGATGCATGTTTGTCCTCAAGACGATTGCTCACAGTGTAGAACAATTACCTTGTATTAATGGATCTTAATGAGTCTGGCACACACATACACACTGACATTCAGGTTGAACAGAGCAGTGTGCTACATAATGGAGTGCAGCCAGTGTCATCAATAAATGCAGCTTATAAGGGCTTTTGTTACTGTAGCATTGTCTTACTAGCTAATGCACTATTCAAATGACACAGTGGCCTTGGGATCGTACGGTGAAGGGATCGTACGGTGAAGGGAACATACTGAAAAGTAAAGGCTTCTGCACTTATTTTCGTTTCTCCCGTGCATGTTTCTTTTTTCCTTTCTGATTGTTAGAGGCCTTGCACAGTATGTGGACAAATACAGTTAAACATATAATTCCCCCCCCCCCCCCCCCCTTTTAAGCATATCAGTGTCCTCCTCCCCATCTGAGTTTTTTATTGGACAGTTACTAGTCAAGAAGGCAGACGGGAAACGAGTATGATAAGCAACAAAGGTCCCCAGCTGGAATGAAACCGCCAACATGGTGGTCATATAGCATGCACCGTAACTATTCACTCCCCAGAACTCTTTTTTTAGTTCGACAAAAGGAGCCAGAGTGGAGGGACTGAAAGACACTAATGTGCACATACATTCACGACACCCACAGCAGGAAGTGGGAGAAACTATTTTGACATTTGCGCTGGCTGACCAGCTCATGTCACAAACAACGGGCCCCTCACGCTTGGATTCATCGCTCACTGTTCAACACATCCATGACTTGTTCTCGGATTGTTCCTGTAACATAGAATCTAGTGCTCCTCTGACCATGGATGTAGGAGTTTTGCACTGTTTTTGTAATGGCTATCTGAGCTCCAGGCTTGAGGATGAAGTTGTGATGGGCAGGGAGGAGGTGGATCTTCACCGCCTCCACCATGAGTCAGGACTGACTCAACTGAACTGACCTACTCCCTACAGCTCACAGCTCTAGTTCATAGCCCACCTCTCTCTCTCTCTCTCTCTCTCTCTCTCTCTCTCTCTCTGTCTTTCTTCATATCTGTCTTCCTCTCCCCTCAGATGATGCTACACTCCCACTCGGCAGCAGCTGTATGCATAATCTCTCTGCGAACATGTATCTAAATACATATGTGGGCGGGGTATCTGTAATAAAAACATATCTGACACTTTGTACAGCAGAACACCATTGGCAGAATTTCCATATTAAATCAAGACGTTCACTGACTTCTTCTTGTTTGCTGCTGCCTCTGCATCCCTCACGTTTTGCCTTTGAATTGCAAACAACCTTCTCGGGAAGAGAAAAATCTGCTCCTGCTTGTTATGCATCTGCTAATAATTCATTGTGTACAGTCGCTCCTCCATTTAAAGGGTGTTCTTTTTCAATTTGAACGTACTGCTGACGTCACTGGTGCGATAACCTGCTTCCATGATAAAATCTCATAAAGCTGAATAGTTAGATTGCTACAGTTTCAATTTGTAAATGTAAACCTGTTACTCTGATGTGTTGTCTTATAGCACAACAGTCATATGTGTGCTATTTCTCTCATTCCAACTGCATTGTCTTCATTCCATTTTCCAACCTGGCACAGTGCACAGTGTGCAATAAAACTCAATAAATGTGTCAGAGTGAGACACACATTTTGCCAGTGAATATTAATTAGCTGTTGTTTCTCTGTCTGATTGTTAGTGGTGATAGTCTGCCTAGAGACACGTTTATGTCTATTTTTTCATCCCCATTCTGCAGGCACCGTTTACTTCGATTTCTTTTGTTTCCCCTCAAAATAGACTACATTTCATTATGATCATTGAAAAATGAAATGTTACGAGGAAAACAAAACGAAAGCTAAATAATTGTAGTGGTGCGTGCCAGAGACATTACATCTGTGATGGAGATACCAAAGTTCATTTGAATACAAAATAGACATGACCTACATTGCCAAACATCAGAGCGATGAAAAGTAAATCTGGTGCACACTGGGCATGGATACTGGCTCGTTATGGTGCTCCTTTAACTGTGACTCAGACAAAGTCATGATGTGGGAAAGTGAGTGGGCATGCGTGTTTGTGCGTGTTGTGTCCTTGTCAAAAATGTGTGTGCACACTCGCATGCAGACACTTTAATGGTAAAGAGATACTTGTGCTCGTGTTTAAATGTGCACGAGGGTGCAAAAAGGGCAAGCATGAGTACATGCAGCCATGTGTGTGAGAAAAGAGTCAAAGGGCTTGTGATGGTTCAGTGCAACTAAGGAAAGCTTTGGAGTTGGAGCAAATTTAATGTGAGGATTTCACGCTGCTTTGGAGATTGTTAAAAGTTAGAGGCATCAGCTGCACCTTACTCGGGGAAGGTACACACTATCTCAACAACAGGATCCGATTTGCAAGAGCCACAGTGATCCAGATGGGGTCCTCTGCTCACTCAACCGCTCCAGACTTGACTAAGAAACACTGAATGGATGGCAGCTATTTAAGGAGAGACACGAGGCAAGGCCATTCTTCTTTCTTTTCACAAAAGGGAAGGCTTCCTAATCCAAAGAGGAAATTGTGCAAGACGTGTCAGTCCTATTAACTTTGATGACTAATGTGTGTATGTGTCTGTGTGTCTGGGTGCTTGTGTGTGGGTAACGATACCTTGGTATATTTTCATTTTGCTCTGTGAAAAGAGGCTGCTATGGCTGTTCTGTCAGATAGTCGCACTAATGTGTCTCCTCTTTTTCCTCTGCAGGGCCCATTGAGATACTTGAGTTACGAGTGGAAGCTTGTTTCTCACACCGATCGACCCTGGTTGATCAGGACGGGAGGAGCCAGAGCTGAGGCCAAGCAACAACCTTTCTTTTATTTTTATTTTTTTACATATAGCACGAATGGCTCTCAATCACCAGGAGATCCTCAGATTCATACTTTTACTTTTGAGCACAGTTGTGCCGGGGCAACGTTACTGTGGAACTGGGGAAATAGGAAGTGTATACAGATTGATGAATTCATAGCTGTGGATGTGATATTTTTGTAACATAGAAATAGTTGAATTAAAGATTAGAAAGCTGCTGAAACCCTATCATCAAAAGTAAAGGCGGCAAGTTTAGATGAAGAGGTACAAGATGGGGTGAAATGATGTCAGCCAGTATTTGATTGATGGCTACACAGTTTTTTGTTTTTTTCTGCGCATACTCAGATGGAAATCAATAGCTCCACTCAACCGATGGAATTTGCCTTTTAGGAATTGGAATTGTTTGTGTCTGGGGAGCCCGACAGGTCTGCCTGTGAGCCAAACACTGCTGGACTTCAGATAAGGAGACATAATGAAGTCGTGTCAGCGTGTGACACAGGCTCAATCACAGCGTCTGCTCGGAACGGTTGGAAGATGAATGAAAATGTGGTCACTGATCTGTGTCCAGACATTATGTTAACAGTACATCTCAATCTATGTGCTCAACTGGTGCCACGCAAGCTACGTTTTTTTTTCACAATAACATGCCGAAATACAGTACAGTGCCATAGTTACAGCTTTAAAGGATTGTTGAAGAAGTAATAATTTGCATCAAATTTTCTTTGTATACAAATACACATGTTTGATATCTATATATATAAATATATATATATATTTCAGTCATTTTTCTACAGAGACTTTAACATTTAAAGAGATGATATTTTTGATACTGTGTTGGATGACAGAGGTATTTTGACGAAAGCCGACATTCCCTCGAGGTACGTGTTGTTCGGCAGGGCTCAGCGGGATGATGTATTCATACATAGCAACAGGAGGGTGTTTGTATGGATGAAAAACAAGTGCTTCAGTAATCACCCTTCAAGAAACTTTACAGAATGGGCTGCATTGTGAGAAAGCAAATGTAAGGCGCAGAAGATGAATGGCGTAAACCAAATACCTAGTTGTGCTTTATCAGACAGGAGGCGTGGGGCTGAATGAATGCACGGCTGACACTTCACTTTGTCCTGCTATCACTGTGTTTTTCTATGCATTTCTGTGGAGAGGCTGTCTGTTGGTGGCTCCAACATGCAGGCTGCTCTGCTAACCATAACACAGAGTTAAGGAGTACTCCCTCTCATTTCCTCATTTGAAGCGGTTATTTTCGTAGCCGCTATAAACCCGACAAATGTCCCGTTTATCACGTTGCTTTCGGCCCATTATTCATTGTTAGCTAAATGATGATAGTATTGACGTTTAGTAATATAGCACTTATCAAAAACAGAGATTATGGAGTGCTTTACAAGTAAATAAAAGGGAAGAATAGGTGAAAACATTTTAATAGGCCATTTTAGATCAAAAACACGGCCTGTCTCCATATGCTGACTGGAGGAACCACACTTGTAAACTCCACCTCTTTGTTCTCACTGGACACAGAGACTGAATTCATGAACAAACTTCAATCAGAATATGTTTTGAAGATGATCGGAAGTTCTCAAAAAGCTGTCGGTGATATTTTGTTGTGTGTGTCCACAAACTGGTGGAAAATAACTTGTGAGAAGTAAACACTTTACACTTAATGTCGCTGTGTCTGTGTGTATTTTATGGACTAAACAACAACTTCCAAATGCAGAAAGGGTTGATTTTGTGTCTGTGTTATTCATTATAAGCTATGCTCTTGCAAATTAATCTTTTAGTGTCAAGACTCTGTGAACTGGGAGTCAAACAGAGGCAATTAAAAACAGGCTGCAAGAGCATCGCCCTTAATCAAAGTAGCCAAGAACCAGCTTGAGCAAAACAGTTCGGAAAGAGAAATACATTTAATGGCACCAGCAGCTGCATCAGTTAATTGAAGATTAGTGTGATGAGATATCAGGCTGGCAGTGCTAAAGGCCATCGCACATTCTAATGAATTCTTAGCAGCTTGTCATGGTCATGCGCGGTGTAACGCGGGCCGAACCCAGCAGCTCAATGCTTCAGAAATACAGGACAGGGTCACAGGAAGAGGGCAGCGGTGGCGGTCTTGAGACGGGAACATCACGAAAACATGTTTAACTCACTGCCTTGGTACCTTCAAGCAAAGCAGCCAATTCTAAAGTAAAATGGTAGAAGAGGACAGCACGGGGCAACAAGTAAAAAACTGAATGTTTTACCACTTTAACATAGGAGGCATTATCAATGACATTATTTCAATGTAAGCAGTATACACTTACTCAGCAGTACTTACTGAAGCTTATATTCGTAACATAATGAATGTATTAGTGATATACTAGTAATATTCTGAATGAACTACGTTGACGAATCATGAGTCAGTGGCCTGTTCAAGGCCTCATTTGATTTCAGCGGTAGAATGTAACTGAAGCACTTTAAGAACAGTTTTGATGTTATTGTACTTAACTTGAGTATCATACTTTGAAGATCAACATCTTGCATACAAAACACATGATGCATTGTTAGAGATAAACTAGCCTACACTGTACATAAGTATAGTTTTAGAAATAATAATGACACTAATAATACTCCAGTGGAACACAACTGTGCTTGTTTATGTGTTTAATTATGTTTTATGTTCATGTCTGTGTGTGTTCTGTCGTTCCCCCTGGCTGGAAAACAAACGTTCTCCTTGGGGACATTAAAGTTCGAGTTGAAAGTTGCAATAGAGTACATTTTGCTGCTGTATCTTCAGTACAGTAAGTAAAATCACGAATGCAAGACTTGTAACCGAGTATATCAACATTTACATAATGCATAATTTTCAGGGCTGCTAACAGTTATTTTCATGATTTGATTTACTGAAAAATCTATGTTCTATATATATATATATACATTTTTTTTTTTTTGCTTTAAAAAATGACCGATTTATCGAAATAGATGGCGGAAGTTTCTGATAATCACTAATCACTAATTGTTTCAGCTCTTCAACTATTACTCTTGAAATAAACATCTCAGTGCCTATTTCCCCAGAGCCTATTTGCTGTAAGGTGTGCTGTGTTATGCTCTAGTTCTTTGTCACTACCAACATTAATTATATTGTTATATATTATTTAATAATTAATTTAAAAAAATGAACAAAGTCCGCATTGGCTTTACCAGACGAAGGTCCTTACATTCGGCTGCCAGCATCTGCCGGAATGCCACCTTTCCAAGGGCAAAGACAGGGTGCGCGTGTTTTAATGAACCGCTCAGTCGGATAACGAACGTGTCGGCAGCACAATGGAAGAGCGGTAACGCAAACCCCGCCCAGGCGAACTGTTCTCGTAATGCACAACATGTTGCCGCTCTGTCGGTCACGTGACCGGGAAGGAAAAAAAGGAAAGTAGGAAGCGAGATAAAGGGGGGAAAAAAAAATAAAAATAAACAACGAAGCGATTAGCTGCCCGACAAGAGGAGGCGCCTTTATACCCGCAGGTAACACATAACGTTAGCTAGCTGACATGATACTGTAACCTACAGCCGTGAGTGCTAGCTAGTGCTCAGCTCATAATGCTGACGATAGACGCTCATTTGCATTCGCTGTGTGCGTGAGGCTAGTTGGCACAGAGACTCTATACATGTACAGTTGTGTCTCTGTGTTGCTGACACTGTGAAAAAATCCCGAGAGGAATTCCCGCAAAGTGCTGATGTGTCAAAAGCTTGTGACCGACACCGCTTGAGACTGAATCATCCGTCCAGAGCTGGAAAAAAAAGACACGGCTCATGTTAGCCGCTCATGTCTGAGACAAACTGGACGTGGACCTCTCACTTGGCCATCTTTTCCCACTCGGACTTTGTTAAACAAAAAACAACAAAAAAACAGCAAGACTACGACCTGGTTAACTGGCTGTAGTGGGGAGAAAGAGGAAACAAAGTGAGTGTAACGTCTTTTTGTCTTCCCCAGCCTTCCTTTGGAAAGAGTAAAGGAGACAAAAGAAGATGGAGACATGTTGAACTATTATCTCCATGTGTGATGGGAGGACGGCGGTGGATGGCAGCTCGGTATGAGATAAGCACGTAAGTAAAACGTACTTTAAATGTGTGGTTTATTCACAGCACGTTCAAGAACAACGCGGAATTAAAAAAGCTACGAGACAAACAGATTCGTTTTGTGATTAGTGAAGTTCCGCCGGTGTCCAGCCCTAACAGATTAGAATTGGATAAGTTGTTTACAGGGAGGGAAGGTCTGAGCCTTTACAGTGAAACATGTGATTACACAGCATGTAACCCAGCTGTGTTGTATAAATCTGCACTGGGTCAAGCTGAAGCAGTATTTCTACTATACTACTACCTGATAGATAGATAGATGGAGTGAAGGGTGTGTGGGTGTGGGTGTGAGACGCCATGAGGACTGGCAGGATGACTCATTCGGGAAAAACACTCAAACACCTGACACTGCTCCTCTTTTCTTTTTTAACAAGAGCAGAGCAAACAGACTGTTTGCCTAGGGAACATTCAAAATCTCACTTCCTGTTTGTTATACTACCATGTCAATAAACTAAAAGGATGCAGTCAGGTAGCACTGAGAGCAAAGCGTCTGCAGCTTTTCCTTTTTGGCAAAATGTATTTTTAAACTTGGGGATGACCTCGGTCTTTGCCATGCTCTTTAGGTAAGAACTTTTAGGTAAGAACTCATCCGCTGAAGAAGAGGAAGAGGAGGAGGGGGCGAGAAGATGAAGCTGAACGAACGCAGCGTGGCGCACTACGCCACCTGCGACTCGCCGCCGGACAAGACGGGCTTCCTGTTCAAAAAGGGCGAGCGCAACACAGCGTACCACCGCCGCTGGTTTGTGCTGAAGGGCAACATGCTCTTCTACTTCGAGGAGCGCGACGGCCGCGAGCCCATCGGCGTCATCGTCCTCGAGGGGTGCACCGTGGAGCTGTGCGAGTCGGCCGAGGAGTTTGCCTTCGCCGTCAAGTTCGACTGTGCCAAGGCGCGCATCTACAAGATGGCTGCGGAGAGCCAGGCCGCCATGGAGTCATGGGTGAAGGCGTTGTCGCGGGCCTCCTTCGAATACATGCGGCTGGTGGTGAAGGAGCTGGAGAGGCAGCTGGAGGAGATCCAGGAGGCTGCGGGCGGCGGCTGTGTCGGGGCTGGATTTGGAGGCCTTCAGGGCAGACCCAAGTCCTCCAGGCAAAACCAGGTGGTGCGCTCCAGGTCCGGGGCGTCGTCCTCTTCGTCGTCCTCCTCTTCCTTGTCGTCATCGTCATCGAGTGCCCCGACCACGGCAGGCCCCCTCGCCGCTCTAAAGAGCCTCCAGGACGAGGTGCAGCTCATCTCCGATTGTTCCAAGGTGAACGGAGTCGCGTGGAGCAAACCACCTGTCTCCTCGGCTAATGGCTTCGTCGAGGGGGCGTCCTGTGTGGCCTGGGAGTCCTGCACGGACTCCGGGAACAACGCTGGGATCGGCGACGGTCCCAACGGGGTCAGGGCTCCACCGGTGCCCCCCAGGAGAAGAGGAGCGTCTCTGGAAAGCCCCGTCTGCCCCGGCACCGGCTGCTTCTCCAAACTCCACGACTGGTACGGCAGAGAGGTGGAGGAGCTGAGAGTGCAGTGGCTGCAGAGCCAGTGAACTAATGGAGGGGGATTATCTCTCTTTTTATTTTTATCATTCCTTTCTGATCATTCTGCAATGTTACAGCCCTCTGAGCCCAACAGACGGGTGACAAAACGCAGTCTTATCACCCATCAAAAACAGACAAATGAAAACCGATTGATTTCAGATCTTGTCTGGCACAGGGGAACCAGTCTGTCTTAAACATCCACACTATCTATCCATTGTACAATCCAAGACATTTGAAAGAACTAAATCTCCTCTTTTCCACAGTTTTTGAGTGTCATTTGCCAAGAACAGCTAAAAAAAAAAAAGTCATGGACACAGTATTTAAAATGCTAATCATTTATTAAAAGCATCTGTCTTTTTAACAAGATGCTAAACAGATTGTCCTTGTACAAACAATTCAGAAGAATACGCGTTTCTGTTAATATATTGCCAATGTTAATTTCTTCTGCCCTTCTAGCTTCCAAATATTCCAAATATGTGCAATTGTTTTTCGGGTCCGTTTTATTTAAAGCAGTAGCAGCCTCAATTTTCCACTGAATAGGTAAACATGCAAATTACGGTGCTCAGCATCTGAAGAATGCCAAAAAACTAAAATCACCACATTTAAGTATTTTTCTGATTCCAGCACGGGTGTTTTTGTTTTATGTAAATGAAATAAAGAAGGCCACGTGAACAACGATCTAAAGACAAAACAAACTCGCATGGATCAGGTTGCTCTGGTGACGCATTGTCCACCCCATACACAGGTGAAGGTAGCGGTGTGATTCACGATGAAGTAAAGGAACAGCCATCAGGAAGCCGTTTGTACCATTGACGATATTCTCACAGTCTAACATACGGGCAGTAGGACAATGAAAATCTCTCGAGGTAAAGGCAGGTGTCCTGTGGTGTCCTGTGACTTCCTGTACACTGGGGATAAGAGGTGTTTTTTTTTGGGGTGCACTAGTTCAGATTCTCCTAACTGGGCACATCTCACCCCAGCGACCTTGTGGCTGCTCTGGTCCGCGGTGGAAGCTGGATGTCTCGCTCGGAGCTCCACGCTGGTATTTTTAGCCCTCGTTAGCCGGCGGCCAGATGTTGCTGTGTCATAAGAGCGCTCATCACTTAGTTCTCTTCTGACTCTCGCATCTCGTAAAAAGGAGAACCTTGAACTCGTCGAGCCGTAACGCTTGTCGTTTGTGAGTCTCTGATGAATTCCAGCGCACTGTTCGGTCGTCACGGCTGATTAACGTGAATGTTACTGAGTGAGCGGATCAGTTTGAGGCCTTTACTGCATGTGAACATCTACCCCCTTTGATTTAAGTATACACATTTCACTATTCCATGTTGGAACATTAACGCCTTTTTAAAATGATTTCTCGCACTGTGTTACTATACTGCTTATTATTCTGTTTTTTTATGTGCCTTATGTTATCTTTATAACTTTGTTATTGCACTTGCAACCATTCCCACAGGCCTATAGCAATGAAAGTGTTACTGAATTCCTTTCCTTCCTTCCTTCCTGACAATGGCTCTGTTCCTTCAGCCTGCATCATTGCACAGCGCTATCATTACTGTTATACACGCGGCTTGTACGGAAACAATTGTGGGAAGAAGTGATACAGTGTGGATTGTGTGTTATTTGTCGAGGCGGCATGACATGTATTCACTAAAATGATTGTTGTTGTGCCAATTGTATTTTTCCAGAGGACCATCAGCGTAATTACAGATGATAATGGTCCATTGTTTTTAACAATAATATGTAAAGGAATTTGTGAATGTGTCAAATTAACCACATGAATGATAATCTTAAATCAAGAGTGCCAAATGAGGAATGCAACCTGAATGCACAAATCAAAGCAAATCGTCTTTCGTCGATTGACTTCCACGATTGTAGTCCAGTGTTTCAGTGTTATCGTACACGATGTATGAATTGTTTTAAATGACCATTAATATTTAACACATTGTCCTAAAATGGTACCCTGGCATGATGTTTGTTATTAAAGCATTCGCTGTAAACCACCTAATAAACCGCGTTAACATGTTATGAACAGTGTTTATGGTATTTCATGATATCTGCTGATGTGGGTACTTGACTTAAATTTTATTTATGGTAAAGTTGCTGCGGCTAAGTCATTATGTATTTTTCTTTCTTCATTATACAGTACTTTATAGAGCCGAGTACAGTATGATGGGTGGCAGTGTAGGAAGTTCTCAGATCTTTAACGTAAGTATCAATACGACAGTTTTAAAATACTTTATTACGAGTAAAAGTCCTGCATTCAAAAACGTACTTTAGTAAAAGTGCTATTATCAAAATATACTTACTGATAAAGTAGTAGTCATTATGCAGAACAGACAATTTCTGAATATTACTCGATTATAATTATTTCCCATTGATTGTACATGTATAAACGCACTTATTCACATTTTATTCCGTTTCTGCCAGTAGCCTAGATCCCCATAACAGCTGCACGCTGTTCCTTTAAGTCCTGCGCTTGGGTAATGTTCTCACATTCCACCAGTGATGATGGGTCTCCTGAGTTCACGCAAGGCATCATCAAACCACACACATTATTGCTGCTATTCAGCCCAAGTCTCCCCAGGTGGCGCTGCGCTGAACAACTTTAAACGGCAGTCTTAAATCTTTTGACTTCGAATGAAATCAACGAGTGCATTACACCCGGCGGGACAAGTGAACCGTCTGTTTGAGATGTACCAGCAGGACTTTGAGACTCCAGAGAAGGAAAATTATACATTTTTAATATGTGTTTTAATTTCCGCCTGTTCTTTAAAGACCAGAAATAGGCGACGGGAGATACATGTGACTCTTCAGGTCGTGTCCTTGCAGTAAAGCAGACTGTGGTGTGGTGAGGCGGCAGCAACCAGTGTCGCACCACCTGCGGTTAAGTTGCATTCAAATGTATTGTATCTGAGCGTGGACAGCTCGTGCATCTTTCACATACTGTACTGTGCTTGACCAGAGGGCTGCTGTCTGACTGCAGAGAGCGCCAAACTTCACAGAACGGGGAAGCTACTTCCTGTCTGGAAATTTCGACATAAAAGCACATGTTTAAATACTGACCACTCAAAAAGAGACTGAAAAGTGCCTCACGGTCATTTTGGAGGCTTTAGTTTGTGGTTGCTGAACTCTATTGCATTATAAAGAGGGGTATTTCTGTTATTCACCCTCACTGACACAAATGAGGTGGAATAAATGATAGAAACGCTTTGCATTATAATGCAATACAGCTTTTTATACCGTTTAACGTTACAGTAATTAAGGTATTCTTCAGGACTGCATTAGTTGTAGCTAGGTGTACCTAATAAACTGTCAACTGAGTGTGAATATTTGACATCAAGGGTGTATTCATTGTTTTGCACACACTTATCATTAGCTTCTATATTTAAGAATTAAGCTGAATATGCATTCCCCCCCCCCACACACACACACACACACACACACACAGCAATTTACTTATTTATATATTTACTTGTAGCCCTCTGTGAATAGGTGGGTTTACATAACACGGAAATGTTCCCAGATAATTTTCCAAAAGAAATTTAATTTATAAATGGTCTGTAAAATCAATCTGATCTTATCAGAATGTACAATGTGGTGAAAAGTCATATTAAGATTTGTATGAAACGAAATTGTCACAAACACGGGGTCAATAGGTAGGGATTTAATGTAATTAATTACATTTATGTTTATGTGCATTTAATACATTGTTAGAGAGTACATTTAACCACCCAGTTGGATCAGTAGAATGCTGCTAACAGTTTACTGCATGACTAATAATAACAGAAAAGTGTGATGTATAAAAATCACGCATTTTGAGTAGTATTACTTCTATCCTTAAGCAGGCCTACATTTGCCTGAATAGCTTCAAGTTTGAATGCAGAACTTTTACTTTAAACAGACAATTTTTATTGTGGTATTTACTCAGCACTGGAATGTAAGTAGGCCTACATCTACTCAAGTACTGACCCTAACCCTACAGTTTTGAGGTATTTGTACTTTGTTTTAGTTTTTCCATTTTATGCCACTTTATACTCTTACTCCACTACAATTTTTAAGCCAATATTATACTTTTTACCTCCTTATATACAGCACATACTTGCAGATACAGATTATTAATACTAAAATATATATCTTGACTTATGATGTATTATTACAGGGTAAACTACTAAAACTAAAAAGAAGTAGCCCCACCTTTTACAAGCTACAACTTAAGTGATGTTTACACACCAATGCATATCTAGTTATGATCCAGTAATATAATACACATTATTCTGACATGGACCATTCTGCATAATGACACATTTTATTTTGGTAGGCCATTTTAAGAACTTGTGCTTTTACTTATGTGAGATTTTGAATACAGGCTTTTTACTTTTCACTGATTTGTTTTTATTGTGCTTTTGCTAGGTCTACTTTCAGAGTATCTAAATACTTCCTCCACCAGAGGTCGTTTGTGCACAGAAGACCGGGCCCCCAAGTGTGTTATTCAAACCTTGGTCACTGGTGCTTTTTGCGTATTTAACGCAGGCAAGCGTGCATCTCTTATTCTGAAAAAAATAGAGTCGGAAGCGTTGTCGTGAATTTACTCCGATTCGGCACGAGCTTGACACAGCTGGACCGCGGCACATTTTGTTTGACAGCGGAAATGAGGAGTCGCCACTTTTTTACGCGTCAAGTCCGTGGCTGAAAGTTTTCTTTCCTCTTTTTTTTGTTTGTTTGTTTGTTGAGGAGGAACCGTCGCGTGCACACTCACTATGAGAGAGAAAGCGAGCCGACTTCTTAACATGCAGCTTTTCCCCCGAGGTCCAGTTTCCTGTTGCTCCTCAACGGCATCGTTTTGAGTTACTTTAGTTTCTCAACACATTTCCGTTATGCGAAGTCCAACTTGTTGGTTAGTCGTCGTGCTGCGGTGGGTGCCCGTCCGAGATAACGGAGAACGTGAGTATGTTTTGAGGACTATCGGCTTCCATTACTGTCTCTTCTTAAAGTGCCTTTACCACCACTAAACTCTTAACCACATGGGGGATAATCCCAAAAAATGACGAACCGCACCAGCAGTGTGGACATATTTAGCTTCCGTCCAAAATGTGCACTTTTTCCTTCACCAATAATCGTGGAAAAGAGGGGCTCGTTTTAAATTTAAAGGGCTCTGCCTCTCTTCGGCTCTGGGTCGGGGGTCCTGGCGCAGACTTTTTAGCCCCAAAAAAAGAGTTTTATACTAGAAATAGAGTCCTGTCAGACCGCCGAGCAGGGATTAGTTTCAGCAGGGATAGCTGGCACAAAATATGTTTATAACACGTGCTTTTGGTATTTTAAGTAAAGTTTTTGTGACATTTTCAACATTATTTGATGCGATGTTCTCCATGATGATGTCGCAATGCCTATAACCTATTATGATGCATGTTAATAGGTCGAACACTTAAAAAGGACACTTAACTGTCCAACCAATTAAAAACCAACACATTTATTAATGTGCACTTGAAATGGGAACACACGTCATTGTGTGTTGCTTGAGCGTGAGTGTGCGCGTGCTCAGGTCAGTCACTGCAGGATGGAGAACAGGAGGAAGTGGGGAGCACTGACTGCGTTTCACAATCCAGTGTAGTGTAGCAGTAAATTAACACAGTTAAGTGTGTGTGTGTGTGTGTGTGTGTGTGCGTGTGCGTGTGTGAGTGAGTGGAGATGAAGACAGATTTGTGTACAGGAGGATATTCCTTCAAAGTAAGAGGCGGCCTCTGCCTCTGTGTTTGCTTCGACATTCTGATGCAACAGGTGTGAAGTTGTGGTGGTTTCCAAACTTTTCTGACCGAAATAGATGAACAGTGAGTAGGAGCACTGGATATTGATACAATCTTACAATCCTTTGAAGTTTTGTACTTAAATACACATTTTAGGCACTTTACTTTTACTATTTTCCAGTTTATGCCGCTTTATATTTCCACTCCATAATAAGCTCCACTGTGACCACCTGAAACATTAGAGTTCTGCTTACACGTTAATGCATCAATAATGATAATAATATAACGCTTTTAAAAGTCACAAAGTACTCACTATGAGGAATAGCAAGTACATTTAGCTGATAATACTTATTTATGTAAACATTTTGACTGCTGGACTTGTAAAAACATGTTTTTTTACACTGTTGTATCACTACTTTTACGTAAGTAAATCTGGGCGCTACTACCACCACATATCACGATGTCCATACACAGTGTCTCTCCCAAAGGTCAAAATGATACTTGGGGAGGGCTTCCTCCATCTGCCAGCCTGTTTCCATTACAATAATACAACAGGCCGAGAGAGCCAGAGCGTTGTCAAAAATAATAAATCCGATGGTAGCTGACTGACTAGCATGGCTAACCGTTGGATGAGCTCTGGTTTTGTAACACAGGCAGTTGGCAACATAGCCGGTGGTACCAGTTCTTTGGGCTGCTGTACGTACAGTGTTGTACTGTTGGTTTGACTGTTCTCTTATTAGGAACAAGAGCAGATATTAATGTACAGTACACGTATGCTTTTCCTTGAGAAATGTTTTGGGAATAGACCCCGAACTGAATTCATTAATCACTGCTATTCTTAAAATGTGTCAAAATATATTTGGGCAGCCAGTTATTAGACTTTGGTGGGCCATACATATTGTGATATAGTACAATATTTTAAAAAAACAACTAATTTTCACACTATTTATTGATAAAATAATGATGAAGGAATGTCCTGTATCATAATGCCAGGCCTTCTTTGAATTGTACGTCATCTTAAGATGTATGAAAACACATTTTCAGGCTACATATTTATATTTGCAGTACTTCCAGAACTTGCTGAGGTCTACACGTTGTTGATTCAGTCCTTTTTTAAATGTGACAGTTATCACACCTTGAGTCACTGAAGCACAAGAAAAGTGCCTCTATGGTGGAGAAGTATCGCCCGCTCGACTGCTCATCATATTTTCCACGGCAGACGGGCTGAAGTCTGTCAACCGCACAGAAAGGTTGACTATATAATTTAAAGGTTCGGCGCAGT